CGTGGGAGTCACACCCACTTTGATAAGCTCTCCTCATCAAAGATACAGGAATCACAATACAATGAAGCTCAAATCCTATCCCTGTTCTCAGAAACAGATCTCGTTGTCTGTGGAGCCCAACACCTGGATTACTCAGCTTCCCTTCTGGCTGGCTAGCTGGGTGACCTTGGATCCATTTCTTAATTAGCTTTGGCATCAACCGCCTTACCTGTTTCTGCTCAGATTTTACAAATTAATATGCCTGCAGAACTTTAAATGCTGCTGGGCAAATGAAGGTGCCTGCATAATGTCAGTCCTTTATAATCACTGGCCCTTCTTCCCAAGAGAAAAGGACGTCTTGAAAAAGACCTGCATTGTTTTCCATAGTAAGAAGAAGCCACAAACACTCATCTCCCACTGATCTGGTGATCGCGACTTTAAGTCCATTATCACCATAAGCTTACATGTGTCTTTCATGCATTTTTTCTTCTCACCTGAAAATACAGGGCAGATATAAAAACTCTATGTAACATATGTATGTATACATATGCATGTCAGATATTTTTGCCATTTCCCTTAAAAATAAAAGAAGAAAACTATGCTCATGAGGTTGGGAATATAGTTCAGTGAGTAAGGTATTTGCTGCTCAAGGATCAGGAACTGAACGTGGAGCCCCGGCATCCACGTACAAAAGCTGGCCTTGGCAGTGCACGCCTGTGACCACAGCACTGGTGAATGGGGACGGAGGAATTCTGGACACTCACCATCAGCCAATCTAGCCAGAATTTAAAGCTCAGTAGACTCTGGGTTCTGCGACAGACCCTGACTCAGACAAAGGAAATGGTGGCTGGGGAGGAAGAAGACACATGACGTCAACCTCCGGCCATCACGTGAGAGCACACGTGAGAACACCTTAAACATGCATACCTCACACCTCCCTCACACACACACAAGCATGCACACACACTTACAGTCATGTGATGACTTCCACAACGTTCTTTAAAAAGCAGTTGATTGACCAAGAGGCCCTTCGGTTGACCTCTTCTCAGGGTGATTTCCTCGAGGAGACTCGTCTGTGAGACTGGCCTCACGATGGTTTCAAGAATGGCTCTACCTTGCTCTCATCACAGAATCTCAGCGCTCTAACGGACGTCGCAGGTACCTGACCCACTAATCCAGACGGCCCCAGGCTCATCTCCAGGATGGACCCAGCACACCAAACATCTGACCTCCACTCTCCTAACCGCCTCAGCAAAATGTCTCCTGTCACGCCAAACCAAGACACATATCTAAGCTGCAGCACAGACTGTATATGTAGAGAATCTATCTTGAAATACGTATTCTCATAGTTCAACATTCCCACAATTTCCTAAATTATAGACACAGGGGTTAAAAGCTGGGGGTTTCCATTAAGTTTCTAGAAATATCGAAGCTGCAGGAAACAATCCTTGTCTGGGGCACGAGAGCAGGGGAGATGGCTCACTCAGTCAAATATATGCCACCCAAATATGAGGACTCCATTCCCGTCCCTCCTGCCCATGTAAATAGCCAGGTGAGGCGGTATGCATGGAGCAGTGACCCCAGCGCTGGAGGACACAGACATGCAGGTCCCTGATGCTTACTGGCCAGTTAGTATAGCTGAGTGGATGAGCTACAGGCTCAAGGAGAGACCCTGCCTCAAACAACAAGGCAGACAGCAGAAGAGGATGATGGCTGACCTCTGACCTCCACAACACATACCGCCACCACCATCATTTTAGCGTCCCTTCTCAATCTATCAGCATGTTAACAAGTCATCAGAGGCTCTGCTTTCCCGCTGAAAACAAACACCTGAGGGCACTCTTCCTCCCCCACCATTGAAATGGATGGCTTGGAGATGCAGACACATCCCGTGGAGGCTTGGAATGTAGACACATCCCGGGGAACGTGTGAAAAGCAGTGGCCGAAGATTACTGGAGAATGACCATCTGCACTACAGAAAGGCTGGGACTCTCTCTGGGGACACACTCTACTTCAGTTCTAGCCCTGACCATGTCAGCACCGAGGTTACCATGTGCCCTCACTTCACAACCTCAGAGCTGGGTCCCACGGGAGAAATCATAAATGCCAGCCCCACGTTTCACATATAGCATTTGCAAAGCCAGGAGAGAGGGATCAGGGGAAGTGAAGTGCAGACAGCATGGCATGGATGGAACTGATGGACAAATGGACAGACAGATGTGTGGGTGGGTAACAGTGCAAGATCCAACAATGGTGAGCAACCTTCCTTCTCCCTAGGACTTCGTCATCCTGCTTAAATCTGGACAGGTTGCTTCCTTTCTCTGGGTCTAATTTTTCTTTTCTCAGAGGAACCAGAAGGGTCTTTCTTTCTGAGTCTTTGATTTCCTCAAGTGAATAAACTTTGCAGCATTGCTCAGCTTGGCAAACGCCAGGGTTCCTGTGCTGGACTCACCCAGAGTTCTTGATCCATCACTAATGAGGGGATGGACAGAGCTCCTTAGCTAGAGTGGCTGCAGCCGTCAGGCCACCCGACGCGCACACAGGGCCCTCACTTGCCATTGCATCAAAGGTGACAGTGGGCAGAACACCACCAGGAAGAATCAAGACACTAAGGAGACAGGGTATGAGGCACAGGCCTTTTAATCCCATTCCTCCAGGGACAGAGGCAGAGGACAGTCAACTCAAAAGACTAAACAAATAAAGATAAATAGGAAGAACATGGTAAAATGAGCCACTAATGGCTCACCCTTGCTTCTAGAGTTGGCCTACATTTGCATTTGACTCTTGTTCTAGAAGCTTCTTGTGAAACAGAAGACTGTTTACCTGGAGCTACAATGGCTCTTTATGACACACTTAGCCTTATTCCTCCCTTCTCAATCTTCCTTGATGTCAGGTTTCATCTGAGAAGAATGTCTGGGTACAGGAGAGGTTCCCTAGGCCCTTCTCCCAGAGACTGCTCTCCTAGGTTATAGGATAGCAGGGGTGGCAAACACTTTATCTGAATACTTGGTCCTCATGGTGGGCAGTGGTACCAATATGGGGGCCATTGCCCTTCTCCCTGCCGTTTGTTTTTTAGGTTCTGAATGTTCCAGGAAAAAAAAAATGTATATAGTGAAAGCCTGCATTTCTTACATGTGGAAGAATAAGGGGCATAGAAGGCTTATCATGGGCCCCTATTTTAAGCTGTTTCCTTATGCAGGGCCAATGTCTAAACCATCCTAGAGGCATGGCTGCTTTAGCTTTAGAGAGCCACGGACACCCAAAGGAGCCATCTTATGAGCTCGGTCACTCTCAGCATCAGCCTTGCCCCTGCCCTTGGCCCTACACTGAGCTTGCTTCCTCTCCAGCCCTCTGCACTGAGCATGGCCCTCAGGTGTTTCTGTTATGCTTAACGTAGGTCTTCTCTTCAGTATCCATTTCTACCCTGGAAACCCAAGGAGCACGACAGGGATTCCTGAGTGTGCAAGAGCAGTGTGTCACCTAGGTCTGCTGTCCACACGTAAAGAAGAGTCAGGGTGTGAGATCAAGTCCCTGAGTTCTCTGAGTCTGATCGTGGCTGGAAAACTGGCGGGAGGTAAACAGAAGAGCAGAGAGGAGGGGGCCAAACACAGCAAATGGAGGAAAAAGCGGTTGTTGTGAAAACCGTGTCCTGGGGTATTCCTGGAGCGTGTGGGTGGTCTCTGCATGTCCCTGATTGGGGGAAACTGGAGAAATGGAAGTAGGGAGATGACCGGTTTTCCACAGCTAGTCCAGACACTAGACGCCATTCCCATGACAACGGGGAAGGATCCATAGGCACAGTGACCACTGGGTAGTCATAGTCAGTCACGTGGCCAAGGGCTATTACCTCAGAGTGCGGAGGATCTGCCTTGCTCACAGGTTTCCTGTTGAGGGCCACACTCCAGAGCTGACCTCAGAGCATCAATGAAACTATCATATGAGAAAGGTCACCTGGAGGGGATGAGGCGAAGAGGCACCACTGCAGACCCCTGACAGTTCCTAAGCTCATGCCCTGCACCAGGCACATGGCAATCATCTAGCTAAGTCTTGTGAAGATGCCATCACTGTAACACACATTTTGTCAAAGATGAACCAGGGTTCTGGGAGGTTCTGAAACCTCCTGAAGGCTGAAGAATTCATTGTTCTCGGGCCCACATTCTTAACGGTTTCGTTCTGGCCTCCTGACCTCTTTCAGTATAGCTTCTGGGGACAGGAAGGACCCCACTTTTCAACATCGCAGAATACGAGGGTATCTTTCCCAGGGACACCTGGCATGGTTTGGAGGGTGTCCATTCAGGGCTCATCTGCCTACAGACTTGGAGCTCTAGTCCAGCCTCAGCTCCTGGGCCAGGGTGTGGTCCTGAAAGACTGTCACTTCTGTGTTAACTCAAAGGTAGTCATTAAGTCACGGAGAAGACGTCTTTCCATCAGATTAAACAATCCCACTCACTCTTTAAACACCTTCCTCATGGCAACTCTTTTTCATGACCATCTTTCTATATTTGCCAGTTTCCCCCCAACACTCACCTCCCGGTCCAGTCTCTATTTTAAACAATTCTACACTAGGGAAGAAGAAACGGATATTTTCTCAGTTTTCACCTCTGGCCTTAACAAATTAACACTAGCATGGGTGGTAAGCTGCCTCTTCTGGTCCACTCCGCCCAGGCCTCTGTTGCTCATCCTGTATGTGGCCAATCTTCTCTTCACTAACCACACTGAACTCGCTGTATGTCTTATATACATTTGAAGGTCGTTCCTTGGCCCCATGGAGCCCCAAACTGTTCTTAACTCATTTGAATTGGTCTCACTTCCCTTTGATATCTAAGACAAAGCCTTAGAAAGTCCAGGACACAAGAAACAACCCTGGAGAAGCGAGAGGGTTGACAAGGAAACTCCTCCTGTCTGCAGGGGCCTGGCATTCCTCTAGGAGAAATGTCAAAGCACAGATAGGTTTGTCAGACCCAGCGGGTCCTTAAGTACACCAGCCCAGAGAGTTACCAGCCCCAAGGGGGCCCACTTACTTCGGGGTTCTCGCGGGCCGTCCACCGTGATTTTGATGGCTCTGTGGTAAGTAGCGACTTGTGGTGGGTTTGTGAAGACAGTGATGGTCAGGGTGAAGCTCTTGCCTGTGAAGACACAAACAGAACAGGATAGGGTGAGAGGTGGTCTGAGCGTCTACCTGCTGCGCTAATCCAGGCTCGCCACCTCCAAACCGGAAAGATGAGAGAGCTGCGGCAGGGGGTTTGTGCTCCTGGTGGGCCTATGGCTCTGACTTGGTTTATAATCTGAATTGCACATAGTAGGTTCAGAGATGTGATACACTGCATAGTTATGTGGCTTTAATTCAGTCATTAGTTAGCAACAGGATTAGGAGATATTGGAACCGACTCTCACATCGGGACTTTGGGAATGGCCACCTGGGACACATAGCAATCCACTTCCACCCTTTGTCCTCCCATCCCCATTGCCTTCCTGGATAGTTATAAACTCCAGGTCCCCCCCCCCCAAAAGAAACGCACAGAAAAAGAAGGAGCGGCTATCCCCATATGTCCCTTTTATCTCTGTACTTCTGAGGATTAGAAAAGACAGACTTTTATTTGGGCTGGGCTGAGTATAGCTCAGAGGGTAGAGCGGTTGTCTAGCAAGCATGCATCCCGGGGCTTTATGCCAGCATTGCATAAACTGGGCATGATACTGCCCACCTGCAACCCTGCACTCAGAGAATGAAGGCAGGAGGATCAGACGTTCAGAGTCTTCCTCAGCTATGTAGCGAGTTAGCCTGGGCTACAGGAGACCCTGTCTCAAAACAAATTAACAAACTAACCAAATCAGCAAAGATTGAATTTCTAAGTGTGAAAACATGCTAAATTAGAAATTATTCTCAGTGCATACTAGCCATTGATGGCGGATGATAAATACTATTTATAAATACCAGGTGACTAGATGCTGTACAAACATTAATGGGTAGGGCAGAGCAAGGCCACGCAGCCGGCAGACTGAGATTCAAACGCATAGTTCACACAAAAGTGTGCCTGGCTCTCTCTGAACACCTCACATGTCTCCAGGAGAGGTCGGCTCTGAGTTAAAACAAATATACTACTTCTCCGTCACTTCAGAGAGTGGGTTCTGGGTTTGAATTCCCAATGTTTTACTCTGACAAGCCATACGACCTCTGTAGCTCAATGTTCTTGCCTGAAAAATAGGTACAGGCAGCTTTTCCAAATGTATGAAGAGTTTGGGGCTGAGGGAGGGATAAATATGGCAAAGCACTGTAACAGTGTCTGTCCTCAGCGTGCAAAGGCTCCGATGTTTGCGAATCCCTCTTCACCTCTCAGAGCTCCGCACGGAATCCGAGTGTCTGGCTGAGTGCGGCATCAAGTCAGCTCTTCAGTTAATACAGTTTCTCGTCTTCCCCACACAGCACGCAAGGAAACTCAGACGAAAGGGGAACAAACCGTGCCCATTGGCTTCAACAGGTATTGGCGATTTTCAAACCCAGCTGACCTGCCCACCCTCCTTAGGAGACGCACACTGTTCCAGCTGGCATACATGTTTTAATATGGGTGAAGGCCACTAAGGAATTACCCATGAATGCAACCTAAGGCCATTGATGTTCCATACACATATATTGTATCATATGTGATATATATATTACATGTTTTTGAGACTACAATCTATGACCACAGCAAGCTGCCCTCCTAATCATAAAAATTGTTCCTATGGAGGTGGGAGGTCCTTGGACTTCCCACAAGGCAGGGAACCCGGACTGCTCTTCGGGCTGATGAGGGAGGGGGACTTGGTTGGGGGAGGGGGAGAAATATGGGAGGCAGGGGAGAGGAGGAGGCAGACATCTTTAATAAATAAATAAATAAATAAATAAATAAATAAAATTGTTTCTAAATAATCCTGGAGTGTCTGTCGGCAATCTATCTACTAAAGCCTATGACAGAAAGAGCAACAGTAGCAGATAAGGCCAGTGATGGAGTCAATTTTGCGCCATGAGTGGCCCAAGGGACCAGACAGGAGTGGTTTCTAGGGATTCTATGGCCCATGTGGCTTTGTACCTGACTCCCCCATCTCCTCAGTCAGCCTCCTGCTCACAAAAGATGCTGCCATGCCCCAGGATTGTTGTCGTCAGATACCGGCAGATACCACCAGGGCATATTCTATGTGGTTTTCTACTATAGCGTCTAGCCGACCTAGGGGATAGCCAACAGAAGCCGAAGCTGCACACGCCCAGAACGGTGTGCTGATGTGGAGGCCTGAGGCCGCCACCCATCACTCTCGGTTGTCTTTGGCTGTATAAACAGTCACAAGGTCCTGCTGCTTATAGGTAAGCCTCCAGCAGAGCTCACAGTGGGCCGACCTTTCTCAGCCAGAACCCACGATGGGCTACCCTTTGTATCAGGGACATAGAGTTAGCTTCCAGAATCTTCTCCCTGGATTTACTCCCTCCTGCATCCCATGAGTTCAGCTCTAGAGGTTTCCCCAGCCACTACCACTTCCTCAGCCACCCTGATTCCCCTGCTTGGGTCTTCCCATCTTCAGAGGCCAGCCAGTTGCAGCTGACCTGCTTCTCAGGTGACCTTCCCTGAGGATGGGTTTGCTTGTGACTATTTCAGATAGCCCCACAAATCACTCTTTACCTAGATTAATTAAGATGTCTGCTTTGACAGCATTTGTGGTTGTCCAAGCCTAATCTGCCTGAGGGCAGGGACTATGTTCTCCAAAGACTAGCATTCTTCAGAGATATCAAAGGAGAGCAGGTGGAGGCTTAGGGCAGCAGAAGGTCGTGAAGTGGGGAGGGGGATACCAAAGACAGATGGTGGCGTGGCTTAGTCCTGAGCTGGCCTTGGGTGTGTGTGTTGGGGGGAGTGAGGGGACAATGAAATATGGAGCCTCGAGCTGGAGAGCGAGAGGATCTGGATTCTTCCACAGTTTTGCCTCTCTTGGTCCCAGTTCAAGGATATTTGTGGTACTGCGCGCAGCTCTCTGACACTGTCTTCTGAGCCTGAGGCAGTGGGATGCCGGCACTGGACCTGGTAGCTAGCTCTCTGACAGCTTTCTTCTCAGCTCAAGGCTGCAGGACACCTGTAGCATCTAAAGTTCTCTGATAGTGTCTTCTGTGGGTTCAGCCACGGTTGCCTGTAGTGTGTGTGGTAGCTCCCTGATGCTGTCATCTGAGCCTGTGATTGAGCCCTGACTTCAGCCCATGGATCACCTGTAGTGTGTGTTGTAGCTCCCTGAGGAAGTGTTACAGACCTGTGTCTATCCAGCATGGCATCACTATGAACAGACTCTGGCCCATGCCCTCTGATGCTTAGAGCTTCTCTACTGCAAAAACCTCAAGAATGACTGAATTCCAACAAACTTGGGGCTGATGCAATACAGTAGGCTGGCTTCTTGCACACAGATTCAGTCCTATAGGACTGCTCCCCTAGGCTCCTCCCTTCTCCTCCTGACCCCCTGAGAATGTCAGCAGCATCAACCTTCTGCAGGACCTTGTCTGCTCAGTGTCCCAAGCTCTGACTCCATCTCTCTATGGTACCCTCCTATAGGATAGCTCTTGAATCTCCCCATCCTTAGAAGGCTACCATGCATGGGCTCAATACCACAAACCCTTCTCCTCACTGCACTTGTGAATTTACTCTACATCAGAGCGTATTCTGAGAGTCTGGGTGGGCGCAGACTTTCAGGGCGTATTCTGCACACCAGGCTTGTCATCGCAAGGGTTTCTAAACTGCGAAACAGCCCTACCCTCACCGCCCCCTAAACCACTCTCTCAACCATTTCCTAAAGAGCAACAAGGAGATTTGCATTCAAAATGCCGGCACCTGTAGGTGTTTGTAGAGCTAACCATGTTCCCAGTACGCTCCCATATGTGACTTCATTTGGCTACTACAACTGACTAGTGAACCAAGCAAGGCGGGTTTCACTATTCCTCAACAGGGTGCAAAGCTAAGATGGAGAAAGGTGAAGTTACGTTCTCAGAATCACTCAGCGTGGGTTGGCGGGATGGCTCAGTGGGTAAAGGTATTTGTGGCCAACCTGGACAGCCTGACTTTCATTTGGGATCCATATAACGGGAGGAGAGAGGCGACTCTCACAGGTTACCCTCTGACCTCCATAGACATGCAACAACACCACACACACACACACACACACACACACACACACAAATATAACATTGAATTAATCAACTAAGTTAAACACAGAGACATGAATCCTAAGCCTTAGTCACCACCCTCTGAGTTCTTCTCACGGGTGTCAGAAGGGTCCACCTGTGCCAAATGCAAACTCAGGAGCCTTCTTTCACCCCCCCCCCACACCTGCCATCCCCCAAAGTGAAAATTTCCTCTGTGACCCTAATGCACAAAACAGTTCTAGGAAGCTGCCTATGAACCCAGGTCAGGGCTCAGTGGCAGTCTCCTGGAGTGGACTGGGACTTTGAGAAGGTGAAAGCTTGTGAGAAATTCCTAGTTAACCAGAGACTGACTTAGGAAAGGAATTCAGGCGCAGCAGAGGCCGGCGAGGTCCCTGCTCATGGCCAGGCCGGCGAGGACCCTGCTCACCATTTCATGTAGAGACGAGGAGTTTCCACTTAGCCATGACTGCAGCAGGGAGAGTTCACATCAGTAAAGGGATTTACCTGGGAGGAGATAAACTAGTGGCTGTCCTCACAATGGGCTCTCTGGTTACAGCCAATGTATGTGCTTGTGTGCACGCACACACACCTGTGTACATGAGGTCACAGGTCAATCGTGGGTGCCGTTCCTCAAGTCCTTCCCATCTTGTTATTTAGACGGGGTCTCTCACTGGCCTGGAACTTGTGGATTCACCTAGGCTGACTTATCGGTGAGCCCTAGGAATGTGTGTGTCTCCACATCCTTCTGGGGATGACACTCGGGGCATCATGCCTGTGAAGCAGGCACCTCACCAATGGAGACATCTGCTTCTTATCTATAGACCTTGGCGACTTTTTCCTCACAGGTGAGTGTGATGTTTTTCCCCCAGGTGAAAACCTGACCTCCATTCCTTTGGACTTTTCCAGCTGAGCTTGGCACCATTACTGACGATAGCCTCCAGGGAGCTAGAGGAACATCTGAGGATGCGCCCGGATTGCAGG